ATGTCTCTCTTAAGGTTCTCATTGCTGTCTAGGTTCTCTGGGATTGTGAATTGTAGGCTGGTTTTCTTTGCTTTATGTTTAAAAGCCACTTGTGAGTGAGTACATATGATATTTGTCTTTCTGGGTCTGGGTTACCTCATTGAATATTATGTTTTCTAGATTCATCCATTTGCCTGCAGAGTTCATGATGTCATTATTTTTTCTGCTGTGTAGTACTCCATTGTGTAAATATACCACATTTTCCTTATCCATTCTTTGGTTGAGGAGCATTTAGGTTGTTTCCAGGTTCTGGCTATGACAAACGATGCTGCTATGAACACAGTTGACTCATGTCCTTGTGGTAAGATTGAGAATCCTTTGGGTATACACCCAAACCCTGCTCCATCTTTGTCCCAGCTCCTGTTCTGCAATGTAGACCTACAAAGTGGTCTGATGAGACACTGATCTATTCATAACTATCCCCACTACTACCTTTGGGACCTATCTGGCTTGAGTAAGATGGTTACCTGCATTCTAGAATTCAGCTTCATCTTCATGAATAATTGTCCTCATCTGGGGTCTGGCCTCTCTTGACAGCATTAGCTTCTCCTGGAATTTGAGTGGACTCAGGACAAAAGGTTACGGATAAATAATTTGCCTCTGTACATTGAGCCAAAGCATGCACACAAAATGGAAGTGCCCGGGGCTGGAGAGATGGCTCAGAGGTTAAGAGCATTGCCTGCTCTTCCAAAGGTCCTGAGTTCAATTCCCAGCAACCACATGGTGGCTCACAACCATCTGTAATGGGGTCTGGTGTCCTCTTCTGGCCTGCAGGCATACACACAGACAGAATATTGTATACATAATAAATAAATATTTTTTTAAAAAAAATGGAAGTGCCCATGAGGAGTTAGACAAGCTATACCAACTCTCTGTTGACAGCTATCCCAGAACATGTGTCACGCCAGGCATAGAGCAAAGGATCTTTTAGATCATATTACCACATATAGGCTCTTGCATGGGAAAGGCTGGTCGTTTTAAAGGTTATTCTGACTTAGCTGCCGGAGAACTCATGCATTTTGCTGTCTGCAAAGGGAGGGTCTTGTGATTAGTTTAGTACCATCTTTCCCTATCCTGTGGACATTCATCCTCCTTATCACTGTGCTATAGAAGCATGCAGAGGAATCTTCAGTAGCTCTGTGCTTCTGGAGCAGCAGGAGAGCAGTCGTAACTTGAATAAAAAACTACTACTTAGAGAACAAAGAAATACTGAGACAAGATCCCATAGTACCCCTACGCTCCACTCTTGATTGATGGTACGCTGTCAGTGGCTTTAGCTTCCATTCTCTGTATCTCCCCACACATAATCAACTACTAATTATGTAGCCACATAGGACTTGTTTATCATTTTCTGTGTGTGCATGATGTGCTTATATGGGCGCACACCACAGCGCGGACGCAGAGGTTAGAGGAGAGCTTTCTGGAATGGGCTCACCTCATCTACTTTAGCTGGCTTTTCTAGACTTGCTCCTTGGCAAGTATCTTTACTCACTGGCCTTGTTTACTTTAGAGAGAGAGGGAGAAAAAGAGAGGGAGGGAGGGAGGGAGGGAGGAAGGGAGGGAGGAAGGGAGGGAAAGAGGGAGGGAAAGAGGGAAGGAGGGAGAATGTGGCTGTTTGATAGAAAGCTGGAGGAAGAGGGCAAGCCGAGCCTTCTGCTTTGGTGGTTTTGAGAGACTCATGTAACAAGTCTCCGAGTCTCTCAAGCTCACGTTTTTATGGCCACATTTCTGCATGATCTAAGTCTAGGATGACAGTGTATGCAAGCCTGACATGGTAACAAGACACGTGAGTAAGTATGAAGTTTACATGCACAGTTCATCTTCCTGCTGAGCAGCACTGTCATTTTGTTTTTCACATGTAGGCAGGAGTTAGTGGCTCCTGGTAGGCAGAACAGTCTGCATTCTCCAATCTCCCTGAGAGAAAGCCTTCTGGCAGGACACAGAATGCAAGCCTAGGTGGAGTCAGCAGAGGTGCTGTGGAGGGTCATATTCCTCCCATCTTCATTTGGCTCTTACCCTCTTTGAGAATGCTGCTGTTTGAGTTTTAAGAGTACAGCAGGCTTCTCATCAGCCCTCATTGTTCGCTGTGTTCAGAGAGTCCGGTTTTATCTCATGCTTTTTCAGTCACAGTCCAGCTGGCCTTGGTGAGCTCCCAATAGATCAGCCCCACTGTCTCAGTGGGTGGGTGCACCCCTCGTGGTTCTGACTTCCTTGCTCATGTTCTCCCTCCTTCTGCTCCTCATTGGGACCTTGGGAGCTCAGTCCAGTGCTCCAGTGTGGGTTTCTGTCTCTATCTCCATCCATCACCAGATGAAGGTTCTATGGTGATATGCAAGATATTTGTCAATATTGCTATAGGATAGGGTCATTTCAGGTTCCCTATCCTCAGCTGCCCAAGGAACTAACTGGGGACATCGCCTTGGGCTCCTGGGAGCCACTCTAGGTTCAAATCTCTAGCCAACCCTCAATGGCACGAGGTTTTGATCCTACTTCATGTTCTGGCTTGGTGGGAGCCTAGCCAGTTTGGATGTTCACCTTCCTAGACATGGACGGAGGGGGGAGGACCTAGGACTTTCCACAGGGAAGGGAACCCTGACTGCTCTTTGGACTGGAGAGGGAGGGGGAGAGGAGTGGGATGAGGGGAAGAAGGGTGGGAGGAGGGGGAGGCTAGGAGGAGGCGGAAACTTTTTTTTTGTTTTTCTCAATAAAAAATTAAAAAAAAAAGAATACATCAGGGTGTATTCCAAACACTCTTGTCATTGATTGATTTGCTTAAATAAGTGATTCATTATTCCCACGTGGAGGCTGCTGGAGCAAATTAGTGTCAGTTACTCTGGCCATCCTGCTTCTGGGAAAACAAGCTTTCTCAGGAGTGCTAAGACTGACTTCTCACAGAAAGAGGGGGCCGTTTGCAAGGACTTTTGATTTCCCTTTAATAACATGTAGCATTTGATGGTACAGGACTGTCTAGTGAGCCCTGCTGAAGCTCAGCCTTCGTGCACAGATGGCATTAGGTGGGGAGAGATCGGTGCCCGATCCGCTGTTTATGAATGAAGAGTCCCCTCCCCTCTGTTAGGATTGTGCTCCTTCCCTTTGCAGCTTTCTGAGAATGAGGTCAGGGCCGGGATCTAACTGCTTCTGGCTCCAAAATAGCAGCTCAGCTCCAAATTAATCTGATGCTATTTGCTGTAGAATGAAAAGTGGAGGCCTGTGTATGTGTTTGTTTCCTGTATACCTTTGCAAACAAGTTGTGAATGAACCCCATGTGAAGAGGCAGGGCCAGCCAAGAGCGAGTGCCTGGGAGCTGGTCGCTGGTGATTGCGGACAGGCTATGGGAGCTGCTTTTGTGTCGTGGGAGCCTTGATTGGAAAAGCAAAGCAGAAGAGGGAAACAGACCCCAGTTGTGTAGTACTCTAACTGCTTCTTCAGAAAGAAATGCTCACAGTTGTTGAGGACACTATGTGTTCCTTGTATTGTGCCCAGCAGTTTTCCAATGTATAGCCAGCTGATATCTCTCTCCTGTGGTTTCATGGGGTTTACAGTGTTTAAAATGAGTATCACATGCACGTTGCATTATTTATCAACCATATTAGCATACACAGAAAAACACAGGAGTGTGAGATTCCCTCTTACACACACACACACACACACACACACACACACACACACACAGTAGTGCACCACAGCCTGATCATGCCTTGTCTTTGCAGACAGTGGAGTTAACTTCGGTCCATCATCCCATGCCAGCCCAATTTTCTCATATGGCTTGCGGAGATCGACATTTCTAAGGATCTTCCCTGCAGTCTCTTTAGGATTTGAGTATATCTAAAGGGCTGGGTTTGAGCATTAGGCAGGCATTGTGTGTGGTGATGATGTTTCATTTCTGATCTCAGCCTTAATTGTTGGCTGCTAGCATCTGTTTTGATGGTACCATCTTTTATTTGCAGTAATTGTCTCCTCCGTGAAAGATGAAATGAACACATTGGAACCTTGGGTGAAGGACAGAAGTGTCAGTAGCAGCCTGATGTGTTACATGTCCATTCAGTGGACTTTTAATGTAGCAGGTGCATGTTGAAGGAGATGCCAAAACTGTCTTTTGTATTCGTAATGATTGATCTTGAGCGAGTGCATAACAGCTTAGAGATTGTCATATAACTAACTGGCCAGATGGATGACCTAATTGGCTTTTTTGCACTTAAATGATTTACCTTTTAATACGTGAGAAATCCTATAAGCACACACTGCATCGAGAAAATTTATATCTCTATAGAAGTGTGTGTATACCCATAGCTACAAATATACACACACATACACATTCAAAGAGACATCTGTAGTAGCAAATGTGTGCTTTTCAAATAGATATTTCTTATATAGTGACAGAAAGCAGATTAGTGTCTGGGACTAGAGGCTAGAGCAGGGATTATTAATTTCACAAGCAAGAAAGATCTTACTGAGATGATAAAAATATTCTGCAACTGGATCACAGTGGTGTCACATAGGTTGGTAAATTTCCCAAAGGCCACTAAAGAATTCACTTAAAATGGGTGTATTTTCTAGCTCAAAAAAGCTGTTAGAAGTGATCATTCCCTTTAAGTCCTAGGGCAGGTAGAGGAGGAAAGACTACATCCTCCCAAGTCTTTGTACTTTCTCTTTCCCTTTGAAGTTTATTGACTTCAGTTGTAGAGAAGCTGGACCTTGAGGTGACAGGGCCAGATAAGAAAAATCCAAAGACCTGGCATGGAGAAGTCTGCCCTGACCCCTATTGGCCAGGAGCAAGGTTGCTCCCACTACTGGGTGAAGAGCCATCATCTGAATTGTCACAGGACCCTGCGCACAGGAGATATGGAAGCAGGTTCTGCAGGTAGTAAGCACTGTGCCTCAACCAATCATTGCTGTCAATCAGAAATGCAAACATTCTGGTCCCGGCCCTTAAGTAATGGGATGTTTATCTTCTTTTGCAGGTCGTGTTAGTCTTTGCTCTCAGCATTGGTGCCCTTGTAATATACTTCATAGACTCGTCAAAGTGAGTATGCATATATGTTGTCTTGCCCATTTTTCTAGGTCAGCTGTGACCCCTTACATTGATGTACTTAATTAACACTGGCCTTTGCAAGAATCTCCTGCGTGCTGAAGGCTTGGATGAAGGCAGGGCTGCTCTGTGTTGCATTTCTGAATGGGAAAACATTCTCTCAAAAGGAAGGCTATTATGCTGTTATGGGAGGGAGAGGCACTTGGGGACCAAGCATCATTGCTGGGTATTTTGTTTGTAATGAGCTGGTTCCTGATGGAGTATTTGTACTGAAGATGCCAAGAAGTCAAGAAGGTTTTCATGGGAATGTGAAACCTCTGGGAAGGGTGACAGAATCCAAGAGATGAGTCTGAGCCATTCTGGTCCCAGTCATAGGATCTATTTATCATCCAGGCTTAGGTCAAATGGGAGCATAGATTGGAAAACCCTGCTCTAGGACTTCACTTGCCAATTGAATATGCAGCCAAAGCAGTGGTCGCTGTGTTTCTTCACTTATGGAAGGAAAGCAGGAAATGGGCTGAGGCTGCTCATGAGGACACCCAGAGACAGGTCTGGGGCTGTCTGGGAACCTGTAGAGAACAGTGCTCATGCAGACCCTTCGACTGGCTGTTTAGTGATCTGGTATTCCAGGGTAAGCATAGTTCACAGATGGTGAAGGCTGTCTGGGAGGCGGGTGCAGTCACCATGGCTACCGTTAAATGCTGTGGGTACCACTACTGGTTGCATCACTCGTTCCAGCTATCCAACTGCAATCTTAAAGTTGAAAGCATCTGAAGCAGACAGATCTGGGGATGAATTTGCTTGTCTGTTTGGACACAAACTTGACAGCTCTAGCCAAGAAAAAGAGCCTTTGAGCTTGCCAGCCTCGCTGAATACCTTGAGACTGTTTTTCTTTCCTCTAATACTAATCCTGGGTAGGCCCTAGCCTTCGATCCTGGGACACCTGCCTTGTGTTCCTGCTAGTTGTTAGATATGCCGCAATTCTGAACTTAGTGTTTTTCTCCATGGCACACCTAAATTCTGAATTTCCCTGAGCTATCTGATCACTAGCCAGGGGATTTTGTACATTTGGCTCTAGAGGCCAAACTGTCACATCCAAGAAAATAAAAGAAACATGTCTACTCATCCATGTCTGGAATCTGCCAAGTATGAGGCCTTCAGGAGTCTCTTAGCCCACCTCAGACACAGGCTGTACCCTCACCTGTCTTGAGCCCTTGGTCTGTTAGACATCCTCAGGGGATAAGGCTGTGCATGTTTATTTCATCTGAAATCCCCAGTCAAGAAAAAGAAGAGCATAATTCATTCTGGAAGACTCCAGTTGTCTTGGTGTTAAGGTAAGGCTTCTTCTTGTATTTACTCAGAGATTCTGGACCACATTTGAAGTGAACTGGAACTCTTAAGCCGTTGGTCATCTCTCTCCAATCTCTCTCCAGGGGTCATGGGGTACAAACCCTGCCAACAGCTGTGCTGGGGATTAGGAAGGAGGTTCGAACATGTAGTCTGTGTGTCCCAGAGAGAGCACACACTCATGCGAAGGTGAGTGTGGAGCTCTGCTAAAAGGACAGATGCCTCAGCCATGCCTGCCTTTCCCTCATCTCCCTTTCTGCCCCTTTGTATGCTATGGAAATAAAATGTTGCTGCTAGATGGATTTGGATGGTGTCTTCTTTAAATTGTGTCTACTAGGAGTCAATCTTAGGCGTTTTAGAGTCTGGTCTTCCACGGGAGAAGATGGCAAAGCATGCTGTTCTCCTAAGTGGATGCTCTCTGCTGATGTCTCGCCATCCTCCAGTCCTTTGGGATTAGTCCTGACTCTGCTAAGTCTTGCTGAGGTTGATGCTAGAAACTCTGTGTGATTCTGGTTCTTTTAGGGTCATGCAAAGAGTCTGTACCAAGGCTGATCTTCAGTTCTGTTTTTCACTTTCCCCAGTAAAAATGCCAGTGATCTTAGATACAAGATTGTCTTCCTTCCGCACGGATGCTGACCAAGTCCTCGTAAGGTGTCAGCCTCTCTCCTCTCCTAACCAAGAAAACTGTGTGGTTTGTTATAACAGACTTAGTTTAGCAGAACACCTGTCGCTACATACGTAACTCTGCTTTTCAGTTCTACCTCTTCATCTGGCCTGAGATTATAGCCTAAAAGACTCCAACCTGTGGAGAAGCCAATAAGCAGCCCACATAGAGAATCCATCTTTCCGGGAGGATCCATTAGGCATGCTCAGTTTAAGAAGATGAAATAAAGTAAAATCTATAGTGCTAACTTTATGGTAAGCCTAGAGACATGGTTCTCAACCTGTGGGTCGCTACCCCTTTGGGCCCAAATAAACCTTTCATAAGGATTACCTCAGACTCTCTGCATATCGGATATTTACATTAAAATTAATAGCAGTAGCAAAATTAATTATGGTGTAGGTAGCAATGAAAATTTTCTGGTTGGGGGTCACCACAGTGTAAGGAATTTTATTAAAGGGTCTTAGTATTAGGTCTCAGGCATAGTCAGAATACCCAATGTAATCTATTAATCCAATTGTAATCAAGTGTTGTGAATGATTCGAGACAAAACTCTAAATACAAACTACAAATTGAATGAGCATGAGAAAGAAGAAGGCAAATTCTTGAAGTTTATCTTTTAAACAACAACCAATTTAATAGAAATAACTTGGCTGACTATCTTAAAAGGAGCTTAAATTTCACTTAAACATATTAGCAAGTCATTGCCCTAGGAAAAAATACCTGGTATTCTTGAGGTGAATTTGTATTAGTGTTAACCTTCTACAAATAAATAAGTCAAGAGTAATGCTCTTTGGATTGAGATGGTTTGCAAAATTGATTCTCTCATTATAATTAGACAGAGCTGTCTTCATCCAGTTGGTAGACTGGAAATCTCCCAGTTACAGAAACTGGATGCAAAGCTTACCACACCTGGCCCTTTGGGAAGTGCAAAGAGGGGTCATGGAGATGGCCCAGTGGATAAGAGATGTCCTGAGCAAGCATGAAGACCAGAGCTTACGTCACCAAAACATTCCTGAAAACTGAGCATGGTCCCGTGTGCCTGTAATTCTAGAGCTTTGGGGGATGGAGACAGGAGAATCAAGAGGGGCTTCTTTCTCTGCCATCTTAGCTCTGGGCTTGGTGGGAGACCCTGCTTTAAAGGACTAAGTCAGAGGGTGACAAAGCAAGACACCTGACATTCTCTTCTGATCTCTGCTTGCAAGTATGCCACACGTGCATAAGCCACACACATGGAAAAATTTTAAAAGATTTAAAAAGAGTTCTGCAAAGGAGGCAGATGAGCTTATGAAACAGTCCCGGGTAGACTCAGTTGACTGTTCTCAGATGGGCTGAGTTAGACCTTGCACATGGGCAAGCAGAGCAGATTCTTATTGTGCCTCAGTGAGTCACAGTGGAAAGGCAACTCAGTTGAGGGGACACTGTGATTGACAGGTGTGATTGTAATTGTAATTTGTCATTTTGCTCACCTATGGAAAGTCATCGACTACAATATTCCAGACATCTTTGATGAACTTTCAGTCCTTAGTCCAAGACAGACAGATCCCCAAGAAAGTATTGTTCAGTGATATTTTTGTGAATACCCCCTTTGGATCTTCATTTTCTTCATGTGATCTCTATGGAAAGAACCATTTGGGTTATTTCCAGTGATGACTATTTAGCTCCACAATATTGTCCTGAAGTCAACAGATAAAGAGAATCACATTAAAAATGGGTTCAAAAAGTGTTCCATTATCCCAGTGGGAGGCACTGGAAAGATTCAGACAAAGGGGGTGCTATATCCTGATTGGGATGGAAGAAATACCAATTCCTTCGTGAGACCTGCAATCCCATCCTTCAGTGGTCCATGCTCTCCAGATGCCCCGCCTTCTAACTCTGTGTGTACTCTTTCTCCTGTGCACCCTGATTTCTATAAAGCAAAGACTTTTAAAAGCGTACAGTTGGACGCCAAAGAGATGCCTCAGCAAGAGAAAGGCATCGCTATATAAGTCTGACAAATGGAATTTAATCCCTGGATCCCATCTTAAAGAGGTAGATGTGGTGATGTGGTTCTGTAAAACTAGCACTCCTGTGGTGATATGGGAAGTGGAGACAGAAGAATCCTCTAGAAGCACATGGGTCAATTGGCATGGAATATACAGTGCAGTATCAGACACAAGAGAGACTCTGCCTCAACATAATGGAAGGTGAGAACATGCTCTCGAGAGTTCTTCTGACCCCCACACCTGTACTGTGGCACATATCTGTCCATACTTACACACATACACGCACAAACATGTACACACACACATATACACTGAATAATTTTTAAAATTGTACAGCCAAGTCAGATGTGTTCCTCACTTCCCTGTGAGTGTTAATATCACTGTTGCGCCACCAGATCAGTAATACTTCTGGAATACTAAGGGGTGGGAGACCTCACAATGTCCTCGTGAGGGGTAGGACCATGGCGGGCATAGACAACAGTCCTTACTGCTTCCTTTTTTCTTTTAAGGAAAGTTGGAAGAAACAACAGCTCTCAAAGCTCTGTGCATTTGCATTTTTCCAGTGGCATTCTGGGAAAGGGTGACTCACATGTGGGGAGATATTTATTCCTTTGATTCATGCTTAAATGCTGCTCCTTCTTTTGCTTCGGTTACGTGGATTATGAATATTTAATGCTGCATATACTGGAAATGAAGGTCAGGTCCTGCTCACTGGTGACTTCAAAGAAGCCTCAGTTCTGAAAGGCATACCACCTGCTGTTAGCGGAGTGAAGCGGAAAGGTTATGCATTGTTAAAATCTTCCTTAATGACTCTAGCTGCACAGAATGGCTGCTGCACAGTTGGGGATGCCTGCTGGCTTTGCCAGCTTTTGCTCTTGGCTTCTGGCTTAAGCCCTGCAATTTGAGTGAGATGGACATTAGGAAAGGGGGGGGGTAGGGGAACTACAGCACAGATTCTGTAGTGCATCCTATCCAAGTGCTCCATTGCCAGAGAATGAACT